CAATGAATTTGATTGCGCGACTCTGCTAGCTATGTTCTAACAAACCTTAGGAATGAATTGTTGTTACTAATAAATTGACTGACAGATGCACTTGCTGGTTGAGTCATAGGCCAAGTGAGTGAGTGATTGACTGACTGACCGACTGACAGACTAACCACTGCCTAGTCTAACTGCTTACTTGACAACTGAACTAATGATTGACTGCCATCTTGATTGACTGACTGACTGACTAACCAATCAACTGACTTAATAAACTGACTGAATGGCTAACTGACCTATATAGTAACTGACTGAATGACAAACTAGGTGGCAGCCTGACTGTATGACCAAATGAGAGAGAGCAATCAACGATTAGAGGAAACAGATGAGCTGATTAAGGGAGCAACTGGAGGACTTAACAACACACCAGTTAATTTGACGCACTTGCATTCTAAATGGACAAATTATTTATAATGGTGGGCTGCACTGACTGAGTGATTGATGCAAGGTGACTGACTGGTGATCTGACATGCTGACTGGATATCTAATCAACAAGCTGAATTATTTACTGACTATGCACCTGACTAACTGATAGACAGACCAGCAGACTGAATGATGTTTGCCTGTGGATAATTTACTGCTGTGTGGTTTTAATGACTTTAATGACTGACTGATGGACTGGTTGATAAGTGAATCAATTTGTAATTTTTTTTCCTGAAATCTTGACACCTCTTTATTGAAAATTTGAGGTCACAAATAATTTTGAACACACATAAACTATTTCAAGAAACTATTTTAAAAGTAACAATGTCGACTTCTTAGTGCATCGCTACCAACGCGTAAAATTATCTGCTGATTGTTTCTCTGAGTGGGGCCTCGTACCAGCTGGTGTACCTCAGGTGACAAAATTGGGGCCATGGCTCTTCTTGCTTATGATGAACGATCTAAGAATTCCCCAGGTTCAAACTTGGAAGTACGTTGATGACACGACGGTGGCAGAGATCGTCCCGCGTAATGCATTAGGTGACGCCCAAAGCGCTGTTAAAGTGGTGGAGGATTGGTTCAGAGCACAGAAGATGCAGCTTAACGCTGACAAATGCAAAGTTATGGTCATCGACTACAAAAGGTAGAAACACCATTTCACTCCCCTCTTGGTAGATGACAAAGAATTAGAGACGGTAGAGTCGGCTAGGATCCCAGGCGTGACTATTTCGTGTAACCTTAAGTGAAACAATCACATCAATGATGTTATAAAAATAGCAAACAAACGATTATACTTTTTAGTCCTTCTAAAGAGAGCCCGCGTTCCAGCGGATAACATAATTAATTTTTATTGTACAACTATACGTCCTGTTCTGGAATACTGCGCACAAATATTCCACCATGCGTTACCTGCGTATCTTAGTGATGACATTGAAAGGGTCCAGAGACGCGCATTATCCATCATTTCACCAGAACAGTCATAACATGACTCTTTAGAAAGGCACGGTTTAGCTTCGCTCAATGACAGACACATGAAATTATGTACGNAAGAACCCTATAAGAGAGTAAAGGAAAAGGAGAGATTTGAACAATTTAAACTTACTCTTTCAAGGCTTGCACGTGCACTCTGATGGATTTTATCCTATTGTGTGTTAAGTGTTGAGACTTGCTTGGTACTGTGAAACTAGTTTATAGTGTATAACACTTTATTTGTTTATTGTTTTAATTTTGTTTGTCGTCCTTTTGGCAAAAGTCTGATAAAGTATGAAGGTGGGTGACGTTTTTAGAGCTCAAATTCTTGGTATTGATTTCATTTCCCTGTTTTGCATGTTTCTTCGACTACCCAAAGCTAGATACCAAGGAACACGATCGCCGTAATTAAGCATGAGGCTCGAGACAAATATCAGTTTTGGAGAGAAAGTAAAATTGGATCGATCCCCAAGTCAGAAAATAAAATGAGAAAATTGGGTTCGATCCGTCCACCACCCCCCACCACTTCCACCTCTATTAGACAGTTTATAAAAGTTATCTACCTTTGAAGAAACCTACAGTTCATTTCTCACCATCCAGCCCCCCACCACACCCACTCTTTAAATAGTTGAAATAAGTGTGTGCAAAAGTTGTCAAATTTGTGATTGTAACATTAAATTCAAACGCATACGTTTATTCTAACCAAACGTCTGTCTTGATACACATGCGTACTATGAAGACGTTACTACTTTAGGAGGCGGGTGTGGTGGGGGAAGGAGGTCTTTGTGCCTTCTTTTCAGGGATGGTCTTAGTTTCTTGAGGTGGTCATTTTTTCATGAAATCTGTGGAGACAGAAAATAAAGAGCGAATAAGCCGAAATGAAACGCTTCTATACACTACAACATCCGTAGGTTAGCCTTCTAAACTGGTCACGTAAAGACGAGAATTCTAAACCATTCTTTCCTACTAATGACCGCGTTCACACTTTACAGCTTCTTTTCGCTCAAATGTCTGACTTGGCAACTCACCGGAATGACTAGTTCTTCCTTCTTCACCAGTTAAGAAGTGTCGTCTTACAAATCGTCCTTTGATCTACATTTGAAATGTTAGAAATCAGCTCTAGAACTGTAAGAGGAAAACACGGAGGGGAAAAAACCAGAAGAATTTAATATCTGATTTAATTTGAAAAGGTAAGTATTTAAAGAAACAAAGAATTTTGTAGATAAGCGCACAATCGATAAATATATTTAGCGACTATTTTTAGATCACGTTAAAAATAAACAAAATTATAACGATGCGTGTTGAGAGTATGCCAATTAATCTTAGAGTGGCTGTTGACCCATTACAAACCAATGTTTGCACACATCCAGCAAGAAATGACGATTGTATCGAATTGATACGAAGTGATTAGTTCGACTGCCTAAATAGGTTGCTTGTGCCGAGGAAGTTTCACCGCTCATTTGAATTACATATACTGGATTGCTTTCCTCAAGAAGAGGTGGAACTACATGTATAAGAATAGGGTCGATCGGGGATTCTATGAGCTCATTTTGCTTCGATCATTCATCATCGCTTGGTCTAGTGGTATAAATCAGCTGATGCAGTTAGATAATTTTTGAAACACGTGGTAAATTGTCTTAATTATAAATGAGTGGTTTTCTTGAATAGGCCATTGTTTGGTTTCACAGCCATTGCTATTCAAGCGTGGGCTGAAAACAATGGAGTCGAACTCGAAACGCGCCATTTTCGAAAGGAACTTCGACAGGAAATTTTGAAGCTGTGAGAAACAGTGGTTGTCGCTCACTAATTTTCAAAGTTAGAACGGATTCTGTTCCAGAAAAGCTCCATTTTACATTTCCCGCTTTTGGGTTTTTAGAAGCCGGTTTGAGTTTTTAAAAGATCGCTTTTGAATTCGGCCTTCATACAAAAAATGTCCGTTTTTTCGTCATTTACAAAGGCTCAGAAGTAGACATACTTTCTCAAACTTCCTATTTTTAAGCTTAAATTCAAGATAAACCCTTACTCTTCAAAAACCCGCTCTTGGGTTTCTCACTTATTGCTTTTGGCTATTGGGAAAACGAGTTTTATCAACGCCGCTTCGCTAGTTTCGGCCCCTCTTATTCTGGGCTTTTCAAGGCGCGATTGCATTCAAATCTCCCGCTTCAGTGCTCATGAATAATTGATGATGTCCAGGCATTCTGCGCGATGTGGAAAACCCTTTGGAGCCTCCTTAAAGGTCCGGTAATACGGGCAACATTTTTCTTCAACTTGTCTTGAAACATTGTTGCACTGCAAGTTGAAACCCTTTGTTGCGCGTATTACCACGTTCGTGGCCAACTTGTCTCGCAACAAAATATAGTGTTGCAAGTTGAGGCAACGTGTTGCGCAAAGTAGACTCGAGTTCTACTTTCTGCAACAAATTTTCCACAAAGGGTTTCAACTTGCAATGCAACAATGTTGCAAGACAAGTTGAAGAAAAATGTTGCCCGTATTACCGGACCTTAAGTGCACAATTTACTTTTTTAATTTCAATATCAGGAGAGACGAATTCCCAATGTCAAAAGTGTCAGGTGTGGAAGGAAGGGGGTGGTAAGGTTGGCAAGAGAAGTCAATCACAGATAGCAAATCAAATCCAAAGATACAATTAATCAAAACTTGACGAACTATTTTCCATACAGAGTGCACATGAGAGTACAAGTTATACGAGAAAAACTGCCAAATTTAGACGAAAATTCCAATTTTTATTGCAAAACCCATACGATTTAAACCTGCCTTTAATTTGAAGGAATACATCCCAGTTACAAATCTCCACAAATACCGTGAGTCATATCTGGTCAAAAATTCAAACCCTTACGGGTTAAACGTATGCATAATAATGTTCATAAAGCCTACTCCAGGCTATAATTAAGTTAAATGTACACTACGGAAGTAAAAAATGCTATTCGCGGTCACTGTTTTAGTAGTTTAGTACCAGTGCTATTGAGCATATATAGTATTCGAAATAAGGTTATGGTGTGGTCCGTTGGCCATTTAGTGCCATGTGCCACAATGGCGATAGCAGTCGATATTTACCAACCCATGAAGCGGCTTGATAAAAATCCACCACTTCAACTACTGATTCAATAGCATCTGGTTTTTAAGTTTTTTAAAGTCGAGTAAATAAAGTCGAACCCGGTTAAAACGGTTACCAACGAGCTAAATAAATAAGATGGCCGTATTAACGGGGTAGGATCAAATTCTAAATCGCTTCGCTAGTTGCTCGAGCAGATGTTAGCGTCAAGATTTATTTCCTTTATCAAGTTTGTAATGAAAACAGGGAGGTGTTTTTTCCTTGCAAACAAATCGACTTTTGATCAGTAAATGAAAGAGATCATTGAAATCGACATGTCACAGGCGTTTTGGTTTTCCGGCTAAATCTAGCACTTTTGGCCGTATTAAATGTGCTGTTGAGCACGGCATCAAAAAGGAATTTATGAAACTTAGCAAAACCTGTGGCACATTGAGCCATTTAGCTCCCCCTAATATGGGACGAAAGCAGTCTCATACTACATCAATGTATCTAGCGTCGTGAAACTTATGCCTTGACCAACGATTATAACAGTCCTTCTGAAATAAAATAGACTGACTCCAACTTCTAGTGCTCAGTTTCTACCCGGCTCAGCGTGGAGAATTGAATCTGGCAGTTTAAACTATTCGTCGGCAGGTTTGTGTTTGGCTGTCGTAAACATGACCCTTGTCACATTTGCACTTGTAATTGCCACTCTTATCGCACATTGACAACAGTCCTCCGCGATTGCGGCACACCATTTCAAACACCTCTGTCCTTCCTATGGGTGGAACAAAAGTTGAAAAAGATGGTCGCAGAGGCATCTGGGACAGACTAAATACCTCCACAAGAACTGCCTAGAAGTACAGAACACGTTCCCACGCGGAAATCAATTAATAAATAAATTCATTATAGTTTTCGATCCATCCATCAATCTTACCATCCTCTAATTGGTAGGATCAACTATTTTAACACAGAACTATAGTTGTAATAAGCAGCAGAAGGCTGATGTAGAACTGCAGAAATATGGCATGACTTTACAACTAACACTTAAATCGACTTCAAACCAGTTTTCTGTAACAAAGTTTGTATAGGATTCGACCGCGAAACAGCATCTGGTTTCGGTTCGAATTCTGGCCAAGGAATCGTTATTTAGGTTTGTCCCACGCTTGAGCAAATTTTAAACATTTTCTCAAAAACTTTTTTGTCTCTCTTCACTAGCCTATGAAGAATCTAAAAAAAACCTCAACACGGCTTAAATTTCAGAGAACTCGAAGAATAACTATGGAAGTAGCTCAGATTTTCTTCCTCCCAGACTAGTAATTATAGAAACCCTCTTTATGAAAACCCTCCACTTGAAGCGGGATCTGCAGATTATCTGACCTTTGCAAGTGCGTCCATCTCCTAAGTATCCCTCCTTACAAGTGCAGAAGAAAGAACCTTCGAAGTTTATACAGTTTGAGAAGGTACTACAGCCAAGAGACTGTACACTGTTCACACATTCATCAACGTCTGAAAAACAAAGAAAGAAAAAGCGAGTAAGCCGCCTACAATTGTAAAATGATGATTTGTTAAGTCTGACCTGCCTTTCGTTGTGTTAATCAGTGACTGGATGGTAGTTATCAAAGACGACGTTTGATTTTCTTCTATAATGGCAAGAGTCATTTACTCAAGCATCTTCACTTTGAATAACGTTGTGTACTATCTTATGATCAAGAACTGAACGCCAGGGATATGTAAATCCAGGCTGTCAAAAGACTTTCCTTTCTTGATAACAAGAAGTCGTTTTCCTGTGCGGCTGTCCGGTAAATTGACCCGTATTCTGTATTTAGAAAGCATAAAACACTAGTTCTATTCTAACAAAGATTCAAAGACCTTCACACTAACGAGCCGACGCGTTTCCACCCTTACCAACACATATTGCATCCATTGCAATATTCTGAGAACTGGCGTCTAGAACATAGCCTAATGCACATTCACATCTGTATGATCCCACAATGTTTTAGCAAACGAGATCTGAACGGCAATCACTTGCAGACTGGCACTCTTCCAAATCTAAAAAGGAGAGTACGGTGATTTGCTGAACAAATATTTCTCTAATTTGCTACCAAGCCCAGTATCGAGAATGGTAAAAAGATCCCCAAGCCACTTCTCTTGGCATTTCAAAAATTATATGTTATATCTATAACAAAACTAAAGAGCCCAATTCGGTGCTACGGCTCATTTCCTTTATGTCTTTACGTCTATATGTCTTTTTCCTGCACAAACCAGATCCACTAAGTTCTGAGAGTTGGATCCACAACATAACCTTGAGGACATTCACATCTGTACGAACCCTAAGTGTTGTTACATGTAAAATTTGATCGGCAAAAAAAAAAAAACCCAAGGCACATTCATATCAGTACGATCCAACAGTGTTGTTGGAAATGAGATCTGAACGGTAAGCGCTAGCAGTCTGGCATTCGTCGATATCTTAAAAGAACAAAATACTTAATTGCTTTGAATGCACTCTAGATCCAAGTCCAATCTTTCATTGAATAACTCATGGCTCCCTCACCATTGCATATTACATTCACTGGATTCTGAGAACTAGGATCTTCAACATATCCCAACGGACATTCACATCTGGATGATCCAACAGTGTTGTTACAAACTCGATCTGAATTACAAGCACTTGGAGACTGGCACTCGTCTATATCTGAAAAGGGCAGTAGATTAATTTCCGTCACATGGGCCCTGAATCTGTTTCCAGTTTCTGTATGAATAGCTCGTCGATATTGAGCAAATTAAAAACGTGACGGAGAACCTACAAATGACGCTAAAAGACACTAAACAAACACTCGACTTTCTTACCATTACATGTTGCATTCACCGGATTCTGAGAACTGGGGTCCTCGACAAAACCCAACTGGCATTCACATCTGTATGATCGACCAGTGTTCTTACAAAGGGCAAGGCGAACTTTTGCAACGATCGTAATCTAAAAGGGACGAAGGCGCCATATCTTTAATAGGAAATCCGTTGATCCGCTTAATTCTTTGAAAACATTCTCAGTCCATGAGTTTTTTAGGCCAAATGTTCCCCCTTCTTTGGAATTACTCACATCTCCCGATAAGGCGTGGAAAACTACTGATTTTCTCACATCCAACCACACCTTGAATGATGCTGTACCAGTTAACATGGTATGGTATGGTCTTCTTTGATCCTATTATTCCGGAAAATATTCATTTAGAAATTTCAATTTTGCAAGACAACAAGGCCCATGGTCTCTACTCTTCTCCAGTTAGGTTCCTGAAATTGGCAAAAAGGATCATGTCCGTACCTCTAGCTACGATATTTAATCGGTCTATTTGCTCTGGGATTTTTCCATCTTAACTAAAACGTGCTAAGATTATCCCGATATTTAAGGACGAAGATGACTCTCTACTGGAAAACTATCGACCTATTTCACTGCTCTCGATTTATAACACAATTTTTGAAAAACTTGTGTACTCTAGGCTTATCAAATTTGTCAAAGATTGCAACATTCTCTATGATCAGCAATACGGTTTTCGCAGTAAGCACAGTACTCAGCATGCTATACTCGATATCGTTAACACACTTCTCCAAAATATGGACAACGGTAAATTTTCGTGCAGCGTCTTCATCGATCTCAAGAAGGCTTTTGATACTGTTAAACATGAGATTTTGTTAGCTAAATTTGAAAATTATGGTGTTAGAGGTGTAATCATCTCCTGGCTTAGATCATACTTAACTGATCGAAAGCAAAATACGGAAGTTAATAATGTTGTGTCCGACGCTGAGACGACATTGTGCGGGGTACCACAAGGCTTAGTCCTCGGACCTCTCTTGTTCCTTCTGTACATCGATGATAATTACAAGTCCTCTTCGTTAGTTAACTTTTATCTATTTGCTGACGATACCAGGATAATATCTGCAAATAGCAACTTAAAGGAACTCGAATCTCTTGTTAATCGCGAACTTGGCGACGTCAACGATTGGCTTAAGGCCAATAAACTATCTCTGAACATAAAAAAATCAAACTTTGTACTTTTTCGTCCCCGACAAAAAAAAAAAAGCCTTTTATACCTAGGATTAGAATTTTTGACTCTGTGACTTATACCTATGCAAACCTTGAAATAAAAGACTATGTAAAATATCTTGGCTTAATGGTTGATTCAAATCTTTCATGGAAATACCATACAGAATCTATCTGCCACAAAATTAGCAAGTCAATAGGAATTATTGCCAAGACTCGACATTATGTCCCGCATCGTGTCTTACTTGCCATTATGTCCCGCGTCGTGTCTTACTTTCAGTTTACAATTCACTAATTGTCCCTTATTTAACTTATGGTATTTGTGCTTGGGGAAATTATGCCGTGACATTCAAAAAAAGATCGTAATTTTACAAAAACGGGCCTTACGTCTTATTTACTTCAGTAAGTCTAAGGAGCACACCGTACCCTTCTTTCTCAAATCGAATTGTCTTCCCCAACCTAGCCTATTTTTCAGAGATTGTAGCTATTTATTGTATGATATCAACAGACAGACAGCACCAGTTGGTATACTCAATCAGTTTGTTAAAACAAGTCAGATTCATAACTGCAGAACAATGAACAGTCTCTAGTGACTCGTATTTTGTCGATTCTCTAGAAAAGATAAAATGTATGCTTCTTTCTCGAGAATTGGTGCCCAAATTTGGAACTCTATCCCCTATTCGATTAAACAACTCAGACGTCCGTCTTTTCGTAAAAAGATACAGGAGTTACTACTAAATTTTTTACGGTCAGAAGATAATTATGTCGAAGTCTCCCGTCTTATTAAGTTATTTAATCTTTAGGTTAGCCTCTTTTCGTAATCTTAATATACTTACTCTGTTTTATGCTTATTCTATTTACTGCATAGTAGTGTTTTCATTGTTAGTCCATCTGTAGATAAATCCTGTACTTGTAAACTGTCCTTAGATCTCCCCGCCTCGATTAGTTCATAAGCTATTTGCGGGGAGAAACCAATGTCCTTAGCTATATTTCTAATCTTAAATAAATTGTTGTTGTTTGTTGTTTGTTGTTGATGTTGTTGTATACTAAATTCAAGGTAGTTTACGTTCTTACAGCGGAAGTGGCTAATCCTACAAGCAGTACAAACCACTATTCACAAATTAAAATGAAACAAAAAAATTAACGCCTCCAACTAACATAGGTAACTAAGTGATTCCTTTTTTTTTGCAAAAACAAAAATTTTCAGTAACAGTTATTGCGGAGAGACATTTCCTGGATTAAAGTTGCAGACGGAAAAAAGTTCCGTTTCCTATGGGGCATTAAATATACTTAATTAAATGCAAAATTTGGCCAGGGATGAATTATTTGAAAAGTTTTTTGACGAGTTCTGATCTAAAAATTAATAGGTAGGCTGATGGAAATTTAGTCTTCTTTCAAATCTCCCTGGCAGTAAAATTTTACCCCTGGCACAATTATTTCACCTCCGTTTGTTTGGCCTTTGGCTGGAAAAATTCTAGAGACCACGAGGACTGTCGGAAAGAAAACGTGTGGTATATAGCCCGTTGTGTACAGCAGAATACCCATAAAATGAATAAGAAAGAGGTATTTCCGTCCAAATAATGAAGACCTTTCCCAAAATAATGTGAATTCGGTGGCAAATTTTTCCGTGTCTGTTAATTCCCATGATTGACAATGTAGAACTTACATGCAAAGCGAACTTCAGAGTACACTTCCACTTCACAGAGTGCAATTCTCTTGTTTGCTCCTATACTTTTAATCTCAATGACTTTCCCTTGTAATTTTGGAGAACAGATAACTGATACAAACGTTTTGCTGGCTGTACTGGCGTTTCCGCATAGCTGTTGATCTAATACACAAGTAGGAATTCAATGTTTCTTACTTATCCAAAACTTGTAGGGGCAATGTTTTAAACAAGTTTAAAAATGGGATTAGCTGGGTAAATAATTGGATGATCTTTCGTGGTCAAATGCATGATTTTCATAACATTTTCCTTCTCGTTAATTTGAAGTAGAAAGGTGAGACAAAATAATTATACATCAGTGTTCTTACCAGGACTTCCCACTGAAGAATCCCAAGACCCACCCAACTCAAACAATAGAGGTTTTGCTGAGCAGCCATGTTGGATGGCAGGAACAATAGATTATTTTACCCATGGGAAAAAAAATTCTTTCTTATGCAAAATATTTTCATTGTTCCTGCCATCCAACATGGCTGCTGTGCAAAACCTCTATACGAGCCCTGCAAAACTTCAAGGGGACAGAATTACAAGCAGTGCAAGACTACGACAGTGGGATGTACTTCTAGGGGCAACAGCCCAGTACAAACACTGCAGTGCAATAGAACATGACATTTAAATAGTTCAACAACACCTACACACATCAAACTTAGTCAATCTAAATTACACAAAGTACAAAAGCTTAGAGAACATAAAATGATATTAAGGCTTAGCAGCACTATATTCCTGTTGTTTTCTAGATGTCCCCTTGCCTTTCATTCCTCCCACTGTTTCCCATCTCAGTTCTTGTATCACTTGTAATTTTTCACTCACGTGACACAATAAAGATTTTCCTTAATAAACTAGAAAAAAAAAAAACCATCATGATAAGATGCAGCCAGAACAGCGAAAATGGGCTGGTGCTACAAGTTTCCGTGTGGTATTCATGTTTCAAGCTTCAAAATTAAAGAACTAAGTACATTTATTGCTTAGTTATATTTCACTTTGTATAAAAAAAACTTACCAACATACACATCACATTCAGAAGAAAAAGGAATGGATCCTTCACTGGGTAGGTAGATGACAACTTCCTCAACGTCTTGGTTGCTACCCAAGTCGATTTTCCACCACGGATCTGTCTGGTCATTTGTTGCTATACATGTCAGTCTGTCATTGTCAAAACCCTGATCAGCGATCATTTCTGGTACAGCAGAACTGGACTGTGTAGCAGAACCCGTCTTTGTCAAATCATCTAGAATGTGAGTATATGAGCTATTGACCGAGTGACCGAGTGTAAGGTCTAGATAGCTGGATGTTGGCCGAGTTTTTTTTTTTAACCTTTTTATGGACTGAGACGAAGTCGAGGTCGATCAAAATACTACAAAAAAAAAGAACGATACTTACGTGCAGCCACCTTGGTCTATAAAGGATTTATTAAATATCAAAAAGATTTCGCTTTAAAAAATCACAAAGCCAACTGTGATGATGCGAGCTCGTTTCTCATTTTATAAATTGGAAAATAACATGATTTGATGGGTCTTCTTTATATTTCTGACAAATTTGCATAAAGAAAATTCAGTTCTTGCTCGGCAATGACACTAACTTCCCTTTTCTCGCTTACCTTTAGACAAAGCCGCTTCCATGCTTTCAAATTAATTTGTGTTGTAACTCTTGTGTTTTCCGGTTTTTGCAACTCAGGAAAAATCGTTTATGTTTTTTTTTTTGTTTTAAATCTCTTTTGTTGCTTTTTGCAACTCCATTACCGAACTTCTTTGAAAAACCTACAAATTTCTTAAGTCTCCTCCACGGAATTTTTTACTTGCGCTGGATCACAGCGGGCAAGACGGCCCATCTCGCCCACTCGGGTAGCCAATAAGAACACAGGATTCGCTTCATATTACCCAAGGGCACTTCCAGCTAAATAACAAGAATTTTTATTATATGACCGGCTCCGTAAGAGGGCAAAGTGAACTGAGTCCTGTAATCTGAGTGGCTACCCAAATAAGCGAGATAGGACTACATGTGGTATTTTAGATTATATGCTTCTGTATTTCTGCAAAAGCAAATTTTACGGGTGTAATGTTCGTTTCAAATAAACTAACCATGTTTATCAAGCTGCCTTGGCCAATATTTTAAACTAAGGAAAATTTATCTCCATCGTAAGAGTCACTATCACCATCATCTTTGTTATCAATATCAACAAAATCATCTAAATCATCACCCTCATTACGTACAACACAAATTTTTCAAGACTTACAGTCGTATACAGCAAAAATTTGCACTTCACACAGATTTAATGATGCTGTTTTTCTTGGAATGGTGATGAAAACATATCTGCCACTTATTCTGTGTGGAGAGTTACACACATATTCCTTGGTAATGTTTGCTGTTACAATGTTATTAGAAGAACTGTATTTGTCCCCTGTCAGAGTCTCTCCTAACAAGGAACAAATGGAAAAACTTTTAGCAAAGGCTGAAATCTGCAAAGGGAGTCCACTGAAGTTTTGGCCTTCAACGTATATCCATAGGCAGGAGATTTACATGCAGAGATAAATAGGCAGAACATCCAGGAAAGGGGGGGGGAGAGGAGGGGGAAATGAGAGCTTGTATGTATGTGACTGGAAAAAGAGAGGGGCTTTGACCCACAAGTATAGGGTGGACCTTGTTCCCAAATAGAGAGGAGATCTGAGAAGGAAAGTATTTCAGTGTTACAACCAGCAGTATGAGGAGATGACACTTGTGTCTCCATCATGACAAGATTTTCAAACTTTCTCTGTTCTCATACTGACTAATCACTAAATTATTCACAGATTTACCTTTCACATTGTTAAACTTATCCTTATAAAGTACATACCCTTTGGAGTAAACAGTGATGAACAATCAAAGAAATATATTTAACTAAGTCAGTTCATGTTCTTAAGATAGTATTGTTAAAATTGTTAAAATTATTTTTATGGTGTATTGCTCACCTACAACAACTACCACATCTGTCATGTCTAAGGCACTAACTACATGAACAAGAGCGATAGGTCTGACAAACTCCAGGTCTATCCTCAAAAATGTGTCCAGTGTAAAGGTAGTATTTAGGCAGGTCTGCAAATTACCATCCACTGCTACTGTGTAATCTGGCAGGCCTTAAAAGCAATATTATCTAGAGTATAGAGTAGTACCTGTTAGGTTATTTTCAATATGATTTGGTTTTCTACAGTTTGACTGTAAAGTAAGCAGCAAAATGTCAATAGAAACCAGAGAACATCATAACATCTCCAAAGAAAAGAAAAAATGATTCTTTTACAAAAGACAAGAAATGGGAATCCTTCTTGTTACCAATCATATAAATTCCCAAGAAAAGGAGATATAGTTAGAAAACATTCTGTCAGTTTGTTCACACACCTTTGTACTGCCCACTTACAATCTCAATGAAAACCCTCTGGATGCCTTCTGCCTAACACTTTACTTACACTTTATGCAAGAATGGTTTTAATTTTGAAGAAAATAAAAACTGAAAATTAACAACAGATGTAAGGATTTTGGTTTCTGTCCAGTAAATGGGATATATTTAGCATTACAACACTGAACATCACTGGATCCCTACTCATTCCAAATCCTAGTCACTTGGCTTGCAATGTTATATAAATAAATAAATAAATAAATAAATGATTTAACAATGGACATCCACTGGGTGGCTATTCTTGTCCACTGTTCCAGATCGAATTGGAATTTGAACATGGAATTATAACATAAGATTCAAATTAGGATGTCTGCATGCATTGATGTTAAGTGTACATACCATTGGAATCAACATATACATTAACCTCACAAAGCGTCAAATTATTAGTTTCCTGGAGTCTGATGTAGAGATATCTTCCAGGCACTGGAAAGTTATGTTCCAGGTGAAGACCTTGAACAAAATATAAAAGGTCTGCTGTTGGACCAAACATCAAAAACTAAACATTAAAACTAATATCGAGATCCTTCAGAATGGCTCTAAACCTAAACTTGTCTCAAACCTTTTGTGACAGTTTTTGCGGACAACGCTCTGTTCCTGAATTATATAACACTATACAAAGACCACTATTTTCAGATAAGATTAAAGTTATTATCTAATTGTCTTTAATAGAAGTTCTTGAACACATTCTGCACAGTTTTTGCAATCAAAGTCTTTTCAACAAGAAAGAACAAAGCAAGAGAGAAAGCAAACAATTTTTCCTACAAAACTCACCATAATAGATCAGAAAATGTGTAGCCTGTGAATCACAGAAATGATCCCTAAACTGAATGAAGACATGGGCAACAGGAACTACTTCCTCCAGGTCTACCCACCACCAGGCATCAGCATGGCTAGTAGTTGAACTGCAGCTTTGGCCACTATAAAACAGTGGGTTAAGATTACCATCCGCGGCTCTCAATGAAACTCCATCACCTGATGTGTCAGACTGACTAGTTGATTTACCATCAGATAAACTGATGCCTCCTGC